CCTGATGTTCTTTTATTTCACATACGAAAAGAAGGTTCTAAAATCTCTGCCAAGAAACTTCACTTATTGATTACTATAATAAGTACAGGTCAGTTACAGAAGAATTTTGAAGCATGATACACATATCTACTACAAGGCAAATAAACTCAATTGAGGTTTGCTTAGACCCCAACTTAATTAATAATTTTTAATGCCCTATATGTGAAAAACTCACTAGAAATTTATCGTCATCTTTAAATCATTTGCAGTTTCTTTGCAATGTTGACATATCTAATAGTTTTTTTATGAAATAATCCCCGGGAAATTTAAAGTAGTTATCAAGGATATCAAAAACAAGAATTGCAGGGGTGTAGATGACATTTCTATTGAAATATTTGAAACTCTACCTAATTGACCTTTCAAAGGCATTCAACTGTGTAAACAACAAGATACTTCTGAATAAATTACAGAAGTATGGTTTCAGAGGCATCACCCTTCAGTGGTTTCAATCATATTTATCGGGCCGCAGACAAATAGTATAAACAACTGAGTGTTCTTCTGAGCAGTCCATTAAATGTGGAGTGCTTCAAGGCTCGATCCTTGGCCCAACTTCATTTCTTCTCTATATAAATGACTTAGCTCTTATAGATATAAATGCCATGATCATCCTCTTTGGTGATGACATCACCTTATTATGGCACAATAAGGATAATGCCGTTCTGCATGTGGCCATTTGTGAAGACAACAAAAAAGTAAAGGAATGATGTGACTAATAAGTTATCATTCAATACCAATAAAACCAACATTCTTACTATTCTTTGCACCTTACCTGAAATCTGCTTTGGTGAAGAAATCCTAGAAGGAATACATACTTATAAATTTCTTGGGCTGAATATCGATGATAAATTGAAGTTCAAAGACCATAAAACAACTCTAAGTAGGAAGATTGCCTCAGGCTGCTACGCGCTGAGCGTCACCTCTACAGAACTAGGCTTTGCCCATTCAAGAACAGCCTATTTTGCTCTCACAGATTCCCATATTAGATATGGAATAACCTTTTGTGGAGTTTGCTCTAGAGATCTTTTACAAAAAGGGGCTGTCCGATACAGGTGCAAAGCTGCATCCCGGGTTACATGCAAACCTCTTTCAAAAGCTCATGGTATCTTAACAATAGCCTCCTTATACATTTTTGAAACTATCTCTTCAATAAAAGACAGCATTTGTCTTGCGTGATCCACACTTCTTCTTACAATACCTGGAGGCACAATAGCAATATAGAACTGCCTACTTCCATGAGCTCTTTATTAAGAGATTCAATTAATTTCAATGGTAATAAACTATTCAATAACCTGCCAGTCCAAATTAAATAAATCGTGGCGTACAATAGATTTAAAACAGTGGTCAAAATGCTTATGGTTAATGGGGTCTATTATACAATTCAGGAGTATTTTGATGATACTTCGACCCTTGATACACTCACGCACTTATATTTATTCGTTTATTATATTGATATTTTTATTGACCTAGGTATACCTCAGGGATCTGTTTTGGGCCCGCTTTTGTTTGTTATTCACATCAACGATTTTTAGAACTATATGAAGGCATGTCACAGTGTTCTATTTGCTTATGATATATCCTTGATATACTCTTCTATGAATTATTCAGCTTGTTGACAATTCTATGGAAATACAAGAGAAAGCGGAGCACTGGCTCAGTGTCAACAAACTCATGATAAATAAGGAAAAATCGTAAAACATGATTGTTTCTATGGCTCCGCCATTAACTGAATTCCAGTGTGTCAAATTATTGGGATTTACTCTGGACAACAGGATAAATTGGTCAAGCCACATTTTAAGTTTGAAAAGTAAACTATCTGAAACCAATAAAAAATTTCACTGAGTTGAAAATACATTACAGAAAAAAACTCTGAGAATTTTAGCTGGAATTAGCTAGATAGATTCACAAAAGCACTCCCTTGTTTCCGAAGCAATCCAATCAATCAATTCAATTCAATTCTTTATTTATCCATTCGAGCAAATACATAGGACAAGTCAAAAAACATATAGACATACAACAAAGTACAGTGAGTAAAATGATAAAATAAAATAAATTATGTACATGCATAACAAGGATTGCAGACAAAATACAATTAACATAGGATAGTGAAATAATACATGTTTACAGGTTGTTCTTTAAAAAATTAATTCATAATAATCTTCTAGGGAGTAGGGACACAGATCAATTAGTATCTTTTTCACTTCAATAAGAAATTTCCGGTTTGAAAAGGATCTATATCTTTGTGGAAGTCGATTATAGAGTCTTAAGCCAAGTACAGTAGGTGAATTTAAGCTAATATTTAAGCGTCTGAAGGGAACGCAATATTTGCCTTTCTGTCTAGTATCATAATTGTGTAGTTCATCTACACGCATATGGTCGTCACGAGCTTTGTGTATATTCTTCAAAAGTTCTAAAATGAAAATACCACTAACTGTTAAAATCCTCATGTTTTTGAAAAGGTCACGACAACTATGGTTAAATGAGACTCTAGCAATACATCTAACAATGCGCTTTTGAGCCAGAAAAACATTTTGTGCATATGCTGATCCNTTAGTTTTATCTTCCTCTTGAAGATGATCACTTGGTGATCGAAACACGTGTCGAGGTGTAAAAATAACGATTTGGTGTTGGGAAAAAACTCCAGTAATATTCATTACTACACCAAAGGTTCCAAACAGTACATCATAAGTACCTACACAGTAGGTTTTGGAAAACAACTACTTCCCCGGCTAATACCACGCTGGATATTGAATTATATCCGACAGAAATGTATGCAGGATGTTTCTCGTTCATCCGTAATTATTTTCCGGCAGGCATTTACCAGAACCCATAGTGTAGGTAGTTGGGAGAGATGAATATTTCTAGTATGTATGTATCTCTCCTCGATACAGTCTTCAGATACGGTTTTATCTCTGCTTGAGTATTGACATAGGTTTTGGGGCTTTGTTCACGAAATGGAACTAGTTAACAATTTTTCTAATAGACCAAAGTTTCATACATGCAGTTGAGTCGCTTTGTTGGAAAGTTCTAAACACTTTTTTTTTTGTTTTTTTTTATTTATGAAGTCATGTCCCACAAAAGCATGTGTTTCAAGAACGCCAATTTTCAATAATTTTTCAGATTCCTTAATTTCTGAATTAATCAGAGAAACAGTTTTGAGTTTCAAATGTTCAACAGTAACTTTATTCTCCCTTGTAGTGGTATTCAAACAACTTCATCAATTATTTCAGGTATCTGTAACTACAGTGGATGAGCATAAAAATCCCCTGACGTTCAAGGCTAATATTTACGATATGGATGGAAAAATTCTATTAGACTTCCGATTATCCAAAGGCTGTGGTTTAGAGTTTAAGAAGAAATTTCTCAAGATCAAGAAATACCTGGAAGACATTATAGGAGACTGTTCTGATTTGTAAATAGTTATTGACTTGTATCAAACTCTTGAAATGTTTTCTGATATAGGAAGTTACCTTATTAAATGTTTTGTGTTATTGTTTCACTTGAAGTGATTTGTTGACTGTTCAAAAATTGTTTATATTTGATACCAATAAATTAATTTTTCATAAAATTTTCTTTATTTATCTCATAACTTTTTCGTTTTGAATGGATTTAATTAAATAAATAAATAAGAAGTTGAGGATCACTGAAAATAAGGACAATCTTTGTGAGTATTGGTCTGGACACAAAAAGTTCCATGAATCCTGAAAATTATAAAGTATTAGATTGGGAAATAATAAATATTGTATACGAACCCGAATGGTGTATCTTCTCCCATAGGTATAGGTTTCCCTGGCAAATAACCCCAATTTGAAGTTTTCTTTGGGCAACTAGCTATACATGGCCTTCCTATGATTGAGTTTCCATATCGGACTGTCTGGGCAAAGTAACAAGCACTTTGGAAGTGGCTACATCGTGCTCTACCTGAAATTATATTCCACTACATGAGAGACCAACATTAGAACTTCCCTAAATGTGATACATTTCCTGATGTGTCGTTCAGAATCTACTGTGAAGGGAATGAAGTTTCTGTACATCAAAGATGTCTATCACCCATATCTTAAATTTAGAAAATTGAAACCAACATCGAGAAGACCTGCCTGTTAACTTTGACATGAATATTTTTTAAATATCCTAGATCAGTGTTCGCCAACCTCTTCAATGTGTTGAGCTACTTTGTTAATTTTGGAATAAACATCGAGCTACCCACACGGAAGCCACGTAACGCAACGTAAATGAAATAATCTACAGTTAATTTATCATTATATGTATTTATTTTACTATTTAACTGGTAATATATAATACATAGGTACTAATAATAAACTAATAACTAATATTACTAGCACGTACTTGTTCATAGCTACATTCCTACCTATCAAATGAAGGTGTTTGAAAATAAACACAAACTTTTATCCAGCCACAACGGCATGTCACGT